TGTTTTATATCTATATTTTAATACTTTAGATATAATCTAGGGCTAATTTTTAAAATTATTCTATCTTTAATACTAACTTAAGAAGAATAGTATATTATATATTTATAGAAGTAAAATATTGTTTCTTAGATATTATTCTTTATTATCTTTATTTTCCTACTTTATATAATAACTTTTTAAAACTTTATACCTTTACTTAAAAATCTGCTCTTCTAAAGATTTCTTTTATTTACTACTAAAGAACAATTATTTAGTATAATACTATATACTATTTTAACTTCTAGCTATATCTAATATAAGCTAATAATTTTAAATTTAAAGACTTATTTTATATATACGGTAAAAATCTAACTTATTTAAAGCTAATTATTATTTCTATAATTCTATATCCTTTACTAAGCTAGACTTATATTATAATTTATAAAACAATACAGAAATAGAGGTAGTAAGTTCTTAAAAATATTTAAAGTTTATAAAAAAGAGCTCGTTACTAAGAGAAGTATAAGTAAAGGCTTTACGCGACTCGAGGGCTTTTAATAATCTTACTAACCCTATAGGTTTCTTAGAGTATTAATATCTATAATCTAAATTCTTAAGCTATAAAAATTCATTTCTCTTTTATAGTATTTATATAACTAATTTTCTATAATTTAAAAGCTCTTATTATTATAAGAAAAAGTAACCTAATTATATCTAATTTTAAAATATAAAAATAATTATTAGAAAGGAAAATATTTAATTTAAGAGTTTCTAGAATATAGACTTCATAATAAGCTCTTACTTTTAAAGCTAATAAGGTATAGTAATCTCTAGATATAAAGAGTAAAGAGTCTCTCTTATTATTATTATCTATACTTATGCTTTAATTATCTAAGTTATAGTAGATAGTTATATTTAATATAATAAATAAAGCTAGACTTATTATATATAGATATATATTAAAAAGATAATTAGATATCTTAATAAATATTATATATTTTAATTATATAATATAATAAATATACTTATACTCTTATACTTCTACTTTTCTTAAATTAGTAAAGCAATATCTATAATTATATAGCGCTAGATTATTTTAGAATTTAGCCTATCTTAGCTAGTCTTTACGTCTAGCTATTACTCTATATATTTTCTTTATCTAATTTTAATAAGATATAAAATAAGTATTATTATTATAAGTGTAATTACCTATTTCTCTTAAAAAAAACCTCTCTCTACTTCTAAAAATCGATATAAAATATACTATAGAATTTAGAGAATAATATAGGTAACAGAACAAATTATAAGTAATACTATATATAAATTATACTTCTTTTAAGTCTCGAGTGGATTTATTAAATGATTCTATCTTATAAATTAACAAGTCCTATATTTACTTAATAGTAGCTTATCTAGTAGTAGAGATATATTTCTAGTATAATGATCTATAGTACTACTTCCTCTATTCCTAGTAGAAGTATTAGAGTACCTAGTTAACTCTATACTCTAGATATAGGCCTAGATATATATTATATTCTATAGTATATTTAAATCGCCTCCTTACTTACATCTAAGATAATTAATTTTAGTAGTCTCTACTAGCTTAGTATCTTAACTAAGAGGTATATTTACTTATTTAAATTTAATTTAAATTTAGATAAAGTTCTAAGAACACTAATATAAAGATATATAAGAACTTTATTATAGCTTCTATATTAATTATTATTAAGTAAACTCAGAAAGTCTCTTTAAAGTCTAATAGATAAAATTAATCTAATTATATTTACCTTTGAAATAAAAAATAATTAGTAATACTAAAATACTCTTACCTATTTTCTTTTCTTTATTTTTATAGACTTTTATATATTATGTATAGACGTCTTTACTAATAGAAGTTATTAATAGAAATAAAGTAGAAGAAAATTTTAGAATAAAGTTTTATATATAATCTATATTTAAGAAGATTCTAAAAGACTACTCTTCTTAAAAGTTATAGTTCTTTCTATATATATATAATCCTAAAAAAGTAAAAGAGAAATCTTTTTTATAGTAAAATAAGTTTAATAATAAAGGCTTTATTTTAAATATAATAAAGCTAAAATATTATTATTAGTCTCTTTAATATATAGAAAGATTAATAGATATCTTAAGTATATCGAAATTATAATAGAGTAGATAAAGTTAATAGGTTAGTTATAACTATATATATAGATCTTAAGTTTAATAAATATAATATATTACTATTAGTATAAAGACTTAAAAGCTTATTCTCTATATCTTTTATTAGGAATTATAAGAGTTCAAATAGCTAACTTCTTTTAAAATAGATTTATACGTATATAAGACTAAGTTAAATTCTTCTTTTAATTTTATAAATTATAATAAAGAAACTTAACTAATTAAGAGGCGTTAATAATCTTAAATAGAAGTTAAATAATTTATTATAAGTATTTTATACTATTAGGACTCTATATATTAAGAAATAATTTATTTAATATAAAGCTCCTTAAATATTATTTAACTAGACTTAGTTAAGAAGCTAGAAAAAGGAAATAAAATAGACTTAGTATAGGATATTCTACGTATATTAGACTTCTATACTTACTAATAAATAGCTAAGTAAGTTTAAAGACTACTAAGCTATAGAATAATTAGTAAAATTAAAGCTTATATTTATTAAATTTTTACATATTCTTCTAATATTAAGTAAATTAGAATTTATTTTTAGAGAAATTTATAAGGAAATTAAGAATTCGTTTCCTAGTTATACTTTTAAAAATACACTCTTAAACTAGCTAGAGAAACTAGATTTTAAAAGGACTAAAATCTGAAATATACTAGTAATAAGAGATAACATATAGCTACTACCTTTGTTAATAGGTATATATATTAGTTAAATCGGATAGAGTACTCCGATAGCTCAATTAATATAAATAGATAAAATCTTCTTCCTTATTTCTCTACTTAAACCTATATATTCGTTCTCTTAAAGATTTTTTTTTTAGAAATAGATAAGTATTATAATATATAAGTTTTATATATATTTCTTTATATATATATAATATTAGGAATAGAAGTAAAACCTTATATTTAAAAGGTATTTTAAATTAGGGACTCAGGAAGTTAGTTATTAGAGTATTTTATTTATTTTAGCTAATACCTATAGAAGCTATAAAGACTAGTATATACTAGTATATAGGTACTTAATAATCTTAACGTTTAAGAAATTAAATATATATAGCTATTAAAAAGAAGTAGAATTCTAACTAAGCTTAGAGATTCAAAAGGTAACGGAATATTTAGAAGCTAATATAGACCTAAGTAGCTATATATAGAAATATAAATAAGTACTTACTTTAGAATATAAATAGATTAAAAACTTAAATAAAGAATAGCTACTTTAAATCTAATCTATCTAAAAATAATTTATTAAAATTTAGTAAAATAAAAAAAGGAATTAGTAATATATAAGTAGAATATATAATAAATTATTAACTTTTATCTTATATAATATAGAATATACTAAAAGAAATATACTTTAAAACGATATCTTTATAAATCGAACCTTAATTTAATATGTATATAGCTTCAAACTAACTACTTTCTAATATATATATAAGTTATTATAGACTTCTATAAAGGTGATTCTAATTAAAAGATTATAGTTAGTATAGGTCTCTTTTTACTTATAATAAGAGTAGAGCTTATATTTTTAGTTTCTTCTAATAAAAGTAGAAATAGCTACTAATACTCTTCTTTCTTCTAAATATAATATAGACCCTACTAAATTATAAAACTATAGAATTAGTACTTATATCTCTTACTATCTTTAAAATAGAAGAATAATTATTATCGTACTAGTTTAAAAAAAGTAAAGTAAAAGTATAAGAGTAAAGAAATATATGTTAGTTTAAAGAATAAATACTTTTAGTAGAGTTTATCTTATATTAGATATAGATATAAATAATATAAAACTTAGTATATTTTATTTATAAGAATAAGGTCTATTAATAGATATAAAACTTCCTATATATATTAGTACCTTAATTAGAAGGTAAAATTAAGAGTATTAATACTAGTTAAAACTATAGCTTTAATCTACTAGTTAAGATACTTTTATAAAAGAGCTTATAGCTTATACTATTCTAAGATCTATATAGTTTTTAAAAGTTATATATATTAATAGAATCCTAGCTATTAAAATAATTTATTTAGTCTTACTATTATATAATTAAAGTATATTCTATAAAAGGTTAATTAAATTACTAAGTATAAATCTTCCGACTTGATATATAGGTTCTAACTCTACTCATTATATAGTTAAGATATATTCTATAAAAAAGTTAATTAATTAATTAAACTACTATACTTTAACTTAATATATAAGGTTCTAGCTCTACTAGCTATAGTAGCTACGACTATTTAAGGCAACTTAGATAGCTATAATTGTAAGCAAGTATAGCTAGTAGTAATAAGGTTAACTCTTTACCTACTATATTTAGAGGGTACTATAATTCTTATTTATACTTATATTTATTTTAAGCTATATATTATTATCTTAAGATTCTCTTATAATCTATTTAAGTTTTTAGTATAAAAGATAGGTTATATTTAGTTATATATTTTATTAAAATACTAATAATACCTTATATTCTACTAGATATAATTATTTTTAAGGTAGAAAGAACCTATATTATAATAAACTCTATTGAAGTAGTTTAATATCTTCTAGTATAGTACTATAACGCGGAACTTTAGTAGGTACTTCTATTTGGGCGATCTCCGCGGTCTTTGCGCCTACGAACTTCGTTAGACAAGATTTCTGACGACTCCGAATATAACAATACTTACATCTAAGCGACATCTGCAGTCTGTATGAATTACACAATCAGGCCCGGCCGTACGAAACGTACAAAGCATCAATGAGGAAGAGAAGCTAGAGGTCCTCGGAAGGATCGCGACCGGAGAAGGAAAAGAGCCGAACGGAAGCAGTGAGAACATACTTTTTGTGATAACCAGTCATGGCGCTCGAGGATCGCGATGACTGCGGCGCAGTCCAGAGTGTCTTCATCCGGCTTGTACTCGGGCCTTATATGATGCACTTCAAGTCTGCCGGGTACATGAGAGAATCTACTTTGGACATATTAGACAGGAAAGTCTGTAAGGAAACACTGCACAGTACTGCCCAGCGCCCATCCGTCCGTGAAGCTATTGGCACCGACATTCGCTTCTGGGCTGACCTCAGTGCTCTACTGCGAGCTGCCATCCCAAGTCTAGAACGGCGAAGCTTTACCATATGGGACCCAAGCAGCGTGGACTACGAGAGCACCAGTGGAGCGCTCATCGCTTCACATTATCCTAACCTTTGGAAGGATCTCGAACGCCTCAACGATGTTCTCTCCATCGCCAGGAATGTCCTCACCGCTGGTGCTCTAGTGCAAGACTTGGCTGCAGCATACGGACTTGCCGAAGAAATTTCACGCGTGGTCAACTGTTGTATTCGTGTCACCGCGCGGGGCTATGACGGCGATGCCGGCACCGGCGACGAAGAAAAATGGCAGTGGATTGTCAATGCTTACAAGAAGTTGCTCATCACTAGTCTACAGTCTCTTAATAATCTCGTTGCACAAAATGAGCGGCGCAAACTTATGCTCTGGCTTTTTCTCTTCGACAGTCCATCTGAGCCGGCGCTTGCGCCTGACGATGTCCCTGAAACTTCTTGTGCGAGCCTTACCGATGTGCCCTCTAATCCAACAAGCAGGCCTACTCCCCCGATTGACGACCACGACCTCTTGATCGCTTTTGGTTTCAATGCCTCTGAAATCCTGGATTTGACTGGTGCCGTACCTCTTTGGAGCGATGATCAGTTCAAGCAATTCCCACCCCCTCAAGTTCCCGTTGAAGCAAGAGGGAAATTGCATGGTGATGGGTATACGCTGTTTGTGAAACGCACAAAGAAGACCACCGTCAGTGATTACAACGTACAATATCAAAGAGATCCCACGGCAGCGGAGATTCATCTCGATACGCCTCGCCGCTGGGCTGAGATTGGTGATGCTAGTCAGAAGAGCTGGCAGTGCCTGTACGACGACACCATGGCCAAATTCCGTCAAGACCTCGCAGTGTTCGAAGCAAAGGCGCTCGTGAGGCCGCAGTCGGTCAATCAAGCTGCTCGTAACGTCGTACCTGCTCTTCCTAGCGAGCAGACCCGTGCAAGAATAGTAGCACTGGAAATGCAACTAGCGAATGAGTTCGCACAGAACAGTGTAAACATTGACTCGGTGCGGTCAGCGAGATCGCTACCTCGGGGCAGAACGGTGCAGACTGGACTTGAAAACAAGCCTCCTTACGCCGAGGACATGAGGATGCTATTCACAGCGAAGTCTGGCACGAAAATCCTGGAATCAGGCAAAGCTGAGCTTATGAAGAGGCTGGAAGGATATGACAGGCGAGCTTCATACGACCCAAACACTCATGGGAGGTCTGCTGAGCACTTGCCAGCGGCGACGACGAGATCGGCCTTGGGATTTCCTCCAAGGATACCGCGATCCCCGAACCCTTCAATCCGCCGCGCCATATCATCTGATTCGAACACTGTATCTCCTGCGCGGCGACAACCTGAAGCGGCCGATGACCGAGCACCAGAGCACGCTGGCAGTGTCGGGAATCAAGAGCGCCTCGAGGATGAAAGCGAAGCTAATGCCGATGAGGAGGATGCGGAGGAGGACGAAGATGATGACGACGAGGAATACCCAGGATCGACAGAGGATGGTCGTGGTTTGCTGACGGATGTACCCCTGATACTTGGTCCCTCAGAGATCGAAGTCTTGCCGATGCTGATCATGAGTGGTATCGCACCGTCAGCTGAGCAGGCCCCCGAGCGAAACTCATCGGAGTGGGAAGCTCATCTCAACATGCATACAGTTCGCACCCATCTCCTCTTATCGCAGAGCAACGGCCGCAACCTCCTACGAGAGCTTCTGATCTTTGTCGCAGCCTGGGATCTTCGAGAAGAGGAGCTCTATTTTAAGTTCATGGTCAAAATTATGGAGGCTATCTTGAAAAATGGCTTGATGCCATATGCATATCACGCGTTCCGTGACCGGTCAAGGTCCAAAGACATCATCAGTCCCGCACAGGCTGTGATCATGAAGCTCCTGACGTGTATATTTCGGGCACGGGGAGAGGTTGCGAAGGCAACTGTGGCGGCTAATGCACAAATGAAGGCGATCTCCCCCAATTCTGCAGAGCCGACACCCCGAAACTCGACTCAGCAAGATACGCCGACGCGAACGGACCTGCATATCTTGAACTTCATCTTCACGGAATTCCGTCAGCATATCATCCCACAAACGTGCGCCTTGATATTTCTGCAGGGTCAAATCCACGCCGGCCGGGCAAGCCCAGAAGATTTCCCACTGAACCTTTGGGATATGGAACGCATGTATGAGGGTGTCTACCAATACTTGGAGTTCTTCGCCGTGTTGACCGAAGAGTCTATCTGGAAAGGCGTGTTAGGCCAATGGGAGATGGCAAGCGAGCTAGTCACCCTGCTGCGAGAGCTCGAGGGCGGAATTCCAAAGCTTGGTCCTCTTGCACCTCAAGCGCCACGACGTGGCCCGCACCAAAGAGCACTCTCCGTCGATGCCGGCAGCAGAAATCTCACGGCCGTTGCGGCCGCTGCGGAACGAGGGTTCGGCTCCGAATCTGCCGCCATAAGCGTGGCCTTGCCCCCCTTGCCCGGAGCGAATTCGGCGTTCGAGGCCGAGACGCCATTAGTTTATCCAGAGGATCCGGTGCTGCCTGTTGGGCATGATCTGCAACATGACCATGACGAGCCCTCGGATTTCGAATGGCGCAACCTCAAGAAATTGACTGTCCTAGTCCTGTCATCCTTGATCTGGAAGAACAAAACCGTGCAGGAGCAAGTTAGACTCTATGGTGGCCTCGAGGCCTTGCTTGGCTGTTGCAAAGTCGATGAGAACAACCCCTACATCCGCGAACATGCGATCATGTGCCTTCGATTCGCGGTTGAGAACTGCGAGGAGAACGCCCGGGTGATTCGAAGAATGGCGGCTTTGCAGGATCAAAGGTTGTTCGATGGGCATGCGTCTGCAACGACTGCGTACACTGATGTGCCCCGAGAAGTTCTGGACACCAACGGCTACGAGACATTCATGGATCTTAAAGGCCAGGTGGGTTTACGCCGCAAGGAGGGTGCTCACTCGCCGGCACAATCCGGCACGACCAGCACTACATCAGGCGGAGCGTCGTCCAGCGCCGGTGTCACCAAGCCGCGACTCAACACCACCAAGCTGACAGCCGAAAAGGCTGCCGAGTTGATGCAAAACGCATTGCGCGACCTGCCGTTGGGAAACAAAATTGTCATTGATCGACAAAAGACCGATGCTCTGGCCAAGCTCGATCGGGCATTTGAAAGCACGGAAAAGGCGGCTGAGAATATCCGCAGGGCCGAACGGTGACCAATTTGACAGCCCAGATACAGCTTGTTTTCACAGACTTATCGGATCGACTACTTGATCCCAACGAGAAGACTGCAGAATTACAAAGGTACAATCAGTGCCTCGGTCTGTTTCCTCTCACGTCCGACGCATTTTGTGATATGCAGAGGCGAAACTCACGTGACAGGCGGCTGTTCACTTTGCCGGCATACGCCACAGAGCAGGAACGCGCCTTGTACCCGAGCTCTTGCAAATTTGGCTGACGAGACGCCCGGCATCGTGTGACTGCTATGAGCAGATGTCACAGTATGCTGCTCAGGCTTGCGCTGAATTATATCACTGACGCTGAACGCCGACACAACTACACCGCATTGTTCTATATCTGCATTCTCACATTCTTTGAGGCGCTCGGATGGACGGAGATCAGTCCAGCTAGCTGCTATGCCTAGCCCGCCTTCACAAGACAATGCTAGTAGATACCGGGCAGGTGTCTGCAACAACACGAGCATGCCACTGATCGTTCTGCTGATCACCGTAATACGTGACATTAAGTCCTTGGACATCATGCGCATTAAAGTAACGCGTTAATTGCGCGCTGGCCACGATGTTTGACTCGAAGGCGTGGTCCTCTGCTGTGTGAAGCTTTACAGAGGTGGGCGCACCCATGATATGCGCCCGCCACGTCAGGTGATGCTGCTCCTGCTCCTGTGTACATAGCAGACGATCCTGCATGAGTACAGTACAAAGTTCATTACTTCGCGACGTATTATCGTCCACCTTGGTACCTGCCCAGGTGTCTTTACATGAAACTATTATCTGATACCGTCTCGTACAATTGTAAGCCTGTACAAACGTAGCCCCGAAGACGCGAAGAAGAAGAAGTTGAACATGGTTGTCTCCATTCTCTTGATCTTGTCCCCACGCTAGTCCCCAAACGAAGGTCCGTCAACTCACGGCGAACGTCACCCGAACTTTCTTCTACGCACCCTCCTTTTGACCATGTTAGAGCTGCGGTGCGGTACCGACATGACTGGATTGCATGTGTGGAGGAGTGACGCCCTGCCGATCTACTGGCCAACGCTGGCACATAAGCACAAGTATAACTCGAACGGCCCAAGGGTCAGCGCACCGGGCGTGCATGGGGGTCGTGCTACGAGTTGCGACGAACAGGCTAGCAAAAGAGCTGTCCACGCTGTCCAACTACTGTCCACGGGAGCTAATCTCTCAGCCTATGTCGTGTTGTCTTGTCCAACACGCGCGACCCGACCAACTCCCAACATTCCACCTCTTGGCCGTGCCTGGACCTCATGGTCGCCCTGTGACTGAAGAATGCTGACCCCGCTTTGTACACATATTAAGCATGACGAAGGCGCACGATCAGAGAGCAGCCTCTCTGATTAGTGCCAAAAGCATGATTCTTGTGTTCAGTCCCACAACGCTGACTACTCTCAACCTTTTGAAACTGCGCTGTACTTAGCCACATTGTGCTGACGGCCATCCATTTTCACCGTTGCCTCGTCGATTTCTACCGACGTGAGATTTGCGTTCGACGTCGACACCAAAGCCTTCAATAGACAAGAGCTCACCCCAACGTTGATCCCTTGAGCACACTCAGTCGAGTATCGAGCCTGTTTGAAAGTCTAGACTATGACATCTATGGTTGATCCAGCCGTCGGGCAAGTTGACAGTGCCCAACCGGGGAATGAAGATGTACCAGTAAACAGCGGCCGTCCCCAACGAGGTACTAAAGGCTTGCTACACAATCCGGCGGTCCGTTCTGCCCTGCCATTTGTCAATGGTGGCGCGGCAGGCATGTTTGCCACAACGCTAATCCAACCCATCGATATGATCAAGGTGCGGCTTCAGCTGGTTGGTGAAGGCGTTAAGACCAGCTCGCGTGCTACGCCGATCAGCATAGTTCGGGATATCATGGCCACCGGCAGAGCGAAAGATCTGTACACAGGGCTTTCTGCTGGATTACTCCGGCAGGCTATCTACACAACAGCGCGCTTGGGTACCTTCGATACGCTGATGAAGGTCTTTAGCGATCGCGCAGCGGCTCGCTCAGCAAAGATAGGATTCAAAGAGCGCGCGATGGCTGGTCTAGCCGCAGGCGGGTTCGGGGCCTTCATCGGAAACCCAGCTGATCTAGCACTGATCCGCATGCAGAGTGACGGTCTCCGTCCTGTAGCCGCACGTGCTAACTACCGCGGCGTCGGCGATGCCTTGACGAGAATAGCCAGAAATGAAGGCGTCACCCGATTGTGGGCAGGAGCAACTCCTACTGTTGTTCGAGCAATGGCACTTAACTTCGGACAGCTGGCGTTCTTCTCCGAGGCCAAGTCACGTTTGGAGGGCACAGCACTGGGGTCGCACGCGAAGACACTTGTCGCGTCAGCATTCGCCGGATTCTTCGCATCTTTCTTCAGTTTGCCCTTTGACTTCGTCAAGACTCGTTTGCAGAAGCAGCAGCGTGGTCCGGATGGCATATTACCATACAAAGTGAGTCGTGGTAGCGATACCGTGCTCTCCATTCGCAATGTCGGGCTGACGGATGATTAGAACATGATGGACTGTTTCCGCAAAGTCATTGCAGCGGAGGGCCCGCTGCGATTCTACCGTGGATTTTCGACTTACTACGTTCGCATTGCGCCTCATGCGTAAGTTCCTCTCGCTACAGACTATGGATCACGTTGCAGATGATCGCTTAAGGCTGACCCTGATCCTCAACAGGATGGTGACCCTGATCGTTGCCGACTATCTGGGATTCCTGACCAGATAGTTGAACATAGCGTGGTACAGGGTGATATGTGGATTTCTCTTGATGTAAGGCACAAATGGCATTTTGTGAGTCGGCGCGGGTACCCGCCAGGTTGACACCTGCCATAATGGAAGCCGACGGGACAAATCTCAGGCGATAAAGCGAAAGGTTGTACATAGTCAGTCAGAGTATCGAAGCTCCTGAACGACAGTGGCATCTTGATTGCGAGGCATGAGATCGCCGTAATCGCAGATTTCATCTCGCTGACCGAGGTCTAGGGATGTTGAGAGAATAAGGACGGGATCGGTGGCGCATTGATCAAGTGGACTTCATGATGTAAGTCTGGCTGTCGATGTGTTCGATAGTGAGGTCCTGGCACATATCTCTGCAGTTGAGATAGTAAGACAAGAGAATTGTTTCTAGGGTGGACAGAAAATGAGAGAGATGTGCACATCCGATTACGTAAGCGCTGGAGTAGAGTCTAACGCGGGGAACCCCAACGCGGTCCATACCCCAACGCGGTCCACAATTTTGAACACAACAACGCGTCAACTTCAACACGCAATGGCTACACCAAAACGCGTGCAATCGTCCCTAAAAGAGGGGAGTCTATTGCTTGCGATGTCAGCTGTCAGATCAGGTGCCAGCCGCTCCGTAGCAGCGGCAGCGAGAGACTATAAGGTCTCAAAAACGACGTTGCTCCGGAGACTCAAGGGAATCCCCTCTCGAGAAGATTGGAAGCCAGGGACTCTGAAGCTCAGTCCTATTGAAGAGAGTGTCCTTGTTCAAGACATTCTTCAGCTGGATTCACAAGGGTTATCGCCTACAATCG